CCCCCCCCCCCCCCCCCCCCGCGCGTGTGTGTATGTGTTGTTTCATTCCTTATGTCAAGCATTATGTTTGTGTAGCAAAACTCATTTTCTATTAAGGGCCCTTTTGTCAAAACTGCTTTTGAGACTAAATTTTTTTTTTTTATTTGTTTGGATAATTTTCTAGAAGTGTTTTCTTTGACTAATAGAGTTTTTAAACGAAGTTGACATAAAGTAACTATTCCGAAAAGCTCTTTTATAAAAAGCAGAATCAACTTTAAATTTTTGAAATACATAGTCTACACATTACCATAACAATTCGTCAACATGGAAAGTGGCTAATCTGACAAATCATAAAGGATAAACAGTAAAAGTTCATCTATTCGCCTTGTATTTTGATTAGCAAAAGCAGAAAAATCAAACATGAGAATATATTCATGCTTGGTGTCGTTAAAACAAGTGCAAAGAGTAAGCGAATCCAACAATCCTACTACTTTCATGGTACATTAAGTGGCGTAAAGAGCAACGAAAGTGTAATGAAAGTTACGCAACAAAAAATAGTCATTCGGATGCTTCCTATTAATCAGCCATATCACTATCTAGAGAATTTCTCAATACTTTGATTCACATAGATGTGGAAGTCATTGAAAAGCAATATGCATTACCACGAGACATAGGCATATTAAGGATTCCCAACTTCAACGGAAGAGAATTGAAGACAGACATACATGGGATTCGTCCATGAAACATACAGCAAAAGGGAGAGAGCTTAAAAATCATCATTTTTTGAACCAGTATCACAGTAATAGCCTCTTGGAATGCAGAAATTGAACTCCTTTCTAGCCAGATAATTACATCAAATTGCATATTTTGAGTGGAAATAGCAAGTGATTGGACTGGAAAAATCTTGGGAGTTCAACTTTTGAGAACATAATCTTGAACCAAATTTCATTTATTATTGATACAATGTTTCCAATACAAAAAAAAAAAAAATAACAAGCACCATGACAATTTACAATAGAGTCATGAGAAATCAGAAAGTATTGAGTTTTCTACTGGACTAGCATTGAAGCAAATTATAGCAATGTTTTAATTATGTCAGTAACTCTGACTATATTTCATCTACATCCAAATTATCGAAGAATTAGGACAAATAGACACTTCCACCCATATCTCGTCTTAGAATTTTTTGGTAGCTTGTTTGTCAATAGTGTAAAGGAAGTAATTGGCACCTTCTGCTCATATATTACTGATATCTGATCTCTAAATGATTTAGGATTCATTTGACGAGGCTCCAAAAAAGTCAAAAACTGCTTGTAAGAGTTACTATTGAACACGTTTTGATATTTTTCTGGAAGTGCTTTGCTGGACTAGAAGATCTTTTAGAGAAATGAAATGATTGTTTATCACTTAAGCATTAAATGGTCCTTCAAAATGTATTCTCCAAAGTAAAATGATTCATACTTTAATTGCCAAAAAACAAATAGAAAAGGAAATTTTCATATTTTTCAATCTAAGTGCAGATATTCTGAAAACCACATTTCTCACATTTAAAAATGATAGCAACCAAGTTGCTCACACATCTCTATTTTAGTCGAAAGTTCTTTGTATTTACACATTAGACTCCCGTTTCTAATAATTAAACCTAGAAAACATTTTTCTCAATTGATATTAGTAATATTAATCCCAAAACGTGTTAATAATTAATAAAGATTATTAACTAAACAAATACTAGTTATGAGAAGACCAATTACATTTTAGAGCTTTTACTGAACACATGACCCTGCTAGGGACCAAGTTTCCTCACAAACCTCGAGGCATCCTAAAGCAGCCACACCACAAGGGAAGTAGCAAATCTGAGGAAAAGAGCCAATTAAAGCATCATTCCAACTAAACATCCAAATTGTAAAATAAATATTTGATAAAAAAAATCATCACGAGAAAAATTAGAACAAATGAGTCTATGACAATTTGCGGCAAGAAAAACAGGAAAAACACGAGAAAACAGTAGTTATGAAAATTAAGGACTAAGTGACTTACTTGAGCTCCTCAATCTTGTCCAGGATTCCTGACAAACCATGAGTATCTGTATCAGTAGGGCTCTTCATATCGACTCTAGTGGAAGTCTTTTGTAATAAGAAGCAGATAACCAGAGTCCCAAAACCAACTAAAGCTTAGTGAATATGCTAATAATGTCTCTGTTCAAGAACCATCAAAGCAGATTTCAGCATTTCTCTGGCTTTTCTATCTGGTGAACATCCAAAAGATTCCATCTCACTATATATCTTAGGGACCTGACAGGCAACCAACAGAGGAAACTTTGATTAAAGCACGGTATAAATTTAAACGCCGAACTTCTTTGTTGTCCATGCTTTTAATACTAATAACTGGGCGGCACCATCTTCCAGAACAAACCCCAAAAAAGTTGCAAGATACAGCCAAATTTTATGGGGCATTGAATATTAACTTGATGTAATTAAATAACATTCTTGGCCAAATAAAACTCATTCTTCTATTTTTCATTTATTCCTTTCTATTACATTAAGGTTCACAAACTAAAGAATGTCATCAGAAAGAGGTGGGAATTGCAATTCACAATAAAGCAAAACTTTGCATATGGAGGAAGGGGGCGTTGTTCAAATGTAAAGTTCTGATGGAAGTAGTTGGGTATCTCAGGGAAGTCAGAGGGAGTTCAATGAAAGTAAGGAGGGTTCAAAGACAAAACTTATATAGAAGACAAAGGATAATATATAAGCTGTGAATCAAAGAGCAACACTGACTGAGTAGCTATCTAGCATTTTTGAAAGTTAGCCTGCCACCTTGAGAACACTAGAGATTTAATTCATCCATAGTAAATATGAAAAAGACTAGTGAAGATAGAATAAAATAGCACATTTGATGGTAGTCAGCTTCAAGAAGAGATAGCACGCACCAGATCAAACTTCCGAGCCCTTATAAATGCCTTCATAAGTGTACTGTAGGTAACTACGTCTGGACTAATGCCCTTCAAGAGTGATAACACCACTATTAGTAAAGAAAAATGCATATTTAAGCAATGATTAAATCATTGAGCTAAATCTTACGCTCTCTCTTATGTGATGATAAATTGATAGTGCCTCCATATGCCTTCCAGCAGTACCAAAAGCATTGATCAACACATTTAGCATTATCAGGTTTGGTTCCATTCCTTCTGCTTCCATGAGTTCCAGAACCCTAACAGTTTGTTCACACAAGCCCTGCATTGTAAATATGACAAAATCACTAGGCATACAAGCCAAGATCAAATTTTGTCAGAAGATACATAGATTGAACAGGGATAAAGTCACCTGCTGAGCATAAGCATTTGCCAGAACACAAAATATGCTCGGTGAAAGCTCTAGACCTTCCAATTTTAATGCGTTTATGCAATCTTCAGCATTTTGGAATTTCCCATAATGCCCATAAATATCAACCAAAACGGAATAAATTGCTCCACTCTTCCGATGTCCTCTGCCTTTCATATTCTCAAAAATATTCTTCATGCTATCCCACTTCCCCTGCTCCCCTAAGCGTGTTATTATAGTAAGGAAGATCTTCGGATCAGGGTATATCCCTTGTTCCTGCATCCTATTAAACAAATCCAGAGCACTAGCCAAGTTCCCGAATTTGCAATTCCATCCAATCAACGAATTCCATGTCCTGATATCAGGCACAATACCTTCTTGTTGCATTCTCTCAAAAAATTTCAATGCTTCTTCTAATTCTCCGTATTTTCCAAATGTATCAATGATGCTGTTATATATTCTCCTATCCATTGTTATCCCCATCTCCCGTATCTCCCCCACAATGGCAATTGCTTTCTTCCACATCCCATTGTCTCTGTAAAGTTCAATAATCTTACTGTACACAAAAGAATCCGGCTGGTAGCCCTTCCTCTTCATCTGAGAAATAACTAACCAAGTATCCTTCAACCTACCCGCGTGAACATAATAGTCAATAAGGATTTCAAATGTTTCGCGATCCCTTACCAAACCCGAACCATCCAATACTCTCGAGACTTTATCCGCAAGCTCTAAGAGGCCTTTTCTCAAACAATTTTTGAGCAATGCATTAAACACTTTAATTCCTGGCCTACAACCCGAAAGTATCATTTCATTGAAAATTGCATCCGCTTCTAAAGTCCTGCCAACACTTCCAAGAGCTTTTATCAAGCAAGTGTAAGATATTGAATTTGGGTGGTACCCTAGAGCCTCCATTTGTGAAAGCAATGCCATGGCACTATCAATATCCCCTTCTTTGCACAACGCACATATTGTTTCATTGTATGAATCACGAGAAAGCTCCTTCCCAGTACTGTAAAAATCATTTGAATGCTCGGAAATTGAGCTGTGACTGGAATTTAGAGAAGACATAACTGATTTCGAGCCATGTTTTCCGACAGTGTTTCGTTGTATATAGGAAAAATTTACAATTTTGAAGTTTGACTTGTAATTGACGAATTTGAAAACAATTTGACATAAAGGTGGGAAGCCCTTAAATTTTGCAACTGAATGTGATTTACTGGCTGGCAAAATCTGCAGCAACTCCATGATTTTGACTTGACACTCCCAAAATCCCCCTGTAGTATATCAGTAGTATATCAATAGAGGATATTGTCCAGGAAGTTCGAAATTGGAGAGGAAATATTTCCATTATGGCCTTTGAACGAGGAAAGTATTTCCAAACTACC